TATATATATATATATATATATATTTACACAGCTAGTGCAATGTTGCTTACCAACACTTTAAAATTTTCATCAAGCACTAGCATGAATAAAATAATTTACAAGAATAAATCAAACATCTCTGGCTGCCTGCCATCTGAAATAATGAAATGGTAATTTATTGAATGAAAACATTGAAAGAGTGAAATTGTAATGTGCAACAGTTGGAATTCTTTGGAGCTATGCTTCAGCCACCACTGACACCTTTTCATACTCTTTATCTGTGTTTCTCCAAAGAAGAATGCTGCGACCACCAAACTTTTGTTGCAAATAGATAATTATAGCAAACACCAACACTACCAAAGGAACAATCATATCCGAAGCACGGGAATAATATTCACCCCGCTCCTCGTCAGTGTGATAGGTTGAACCAATAACATATATAAGAGCCTCAAAGAGATCATCATATGCCCGGGGAAGAAGTCTCACCATGCTTGTTCCAAAGAAAAATAAACGAGAAAGAGCATCGCCCTTGGAATTCCAGAACATATTAAGCAAAATTTGAGGTAAGAGAAAGCCATCTAGTACCAAACCTGAATAAAATTTCAAATTCATCCACAACAAATGTTTCTGATAGTTTGAAAGGCCATATGAAGGCACTGCATGGTCATGGAAAGCATTGTTTCGGAACACAAGCAATGCATTTAAGAATCCAGCAACATATATAGGAAAGATCACATACAGAACCTTCTTCTCAGCAATCCAGAGACCATTCTGAGTTCTATCACCCTTTCTTGCTGACCATGTTAGCTTCAGGAGTCGGAGTTGCAAAAGGAAAGTTGCCATTGCTATTAGCCTTACAGAAATTTCATTTAGCCCAAGCCATTGATTTTCAAGCAAAATGCTTATCTTTGCATGATTTTGTGCAAGAAGCGAATGAAAGTTGAGAACAAGAGATGTCATATTTCCCAAAGTGAGAATTAATAGCATGATAAAGGACATTAAGGGAACCATGTCAGGATTTCTTTTCACATGGTAGAGTTGCAAACCCACAAAAGCACATGCTAGCGTGGTACTCACCAGAATCATTATGATCTCCACATCTACTTTTCTTAAGATTTGTTTCGGTTCTATTGTGTAATACGCAACTGAAGACAGGTTCAAGGGAATGAAGTAAAGAGGGTCTGAATCTTTGCGCATGCTTTCAATACTTCCCTTAACATAAGCTCCATTGTTCTTTTCCTTTGGCTGTTGGAACTGAAACTTGACTATAATTTCACAATCCACAGAATCTGTTGTTGGTATTTGGTTTGGTGATCCAAGATTCCTGCAACCTACCATACACAAACTTCCAGATTCAACATCATAAATTCCCTCAGCAGAAACATTAATTTCTGTCTCAGTTGCGTTCGTAGTTGCATTTAACAATGACTTCTCTTCACCTAATTTTGCATCAGGTTCTAGACCGAAGATAATTTGGTAGCTAATATTGTACAGGCCAGCACTGCTGGAGTCTGCTGAAGTAAATGGTTGTGTGTGGCTGGACTTGGGAACAAAGTTTTCATCTAAGTTCAACTTTTGGATCTGATCATTAATAACAAATGTTATAGAAGAACCCCAAGCAACTATTTTGTCATAGTATTCAACTCCCATGTCAAATTTCATGTCAGAAGAATAAACATCCGGATACCTTATTCCCTTGTTCTTGAGAGGTTCTTGTCTTGGGCACATTTTTCTGGCTTTGTCAAGTTGGCTATACTCATATTTTATACCAGCAATTCTATCCCTTTTGTCTTGATGACTTCTTAAAATCATTCTCTTGAAATAACCTGAATCCCCCACAGCTTTGTTGCTCCAAATTTGGCCCACAATGCTACTTGCATCATTCATTGACCAAATTTTTGGAAACCTCATACTCATTCTTGTTGAGCAATCACCCACATGGACACTGGCCATTGATCCTCCATTTCCCAAGAAATGGCAACCAACTATGCACAATTGGTTCTTTTCCTCATCCCACCACCCTTCTCCAACTAATGTAGAATTAGGATTGAAAGACCCAATGGAACCAAAATAAATATTGCCAAAACCAATCAATAGTTTCAGCCTTTGCTTAACATTTGAACAAACCAATACTTCCAAAGACACAATGTAAGGCAATTGGTTGTCATCAACTTCAACAGGAATGCAATTTTTTGCAGATTTGCACTCACGTTGATATTGCAAATCATAATTACCATTAATCATTGAAAAAAGCTTTGAGCAAAATCTAACTGGATTAACGGGTAAGCCCACCACTACTTCACCTTCATCAGCATACTCATTTCTTGTTTCTTTAGTATCCAAACTATATTCATAATCCATTTTTGGAAAAATAAACAGCGAAAGGGATTCAAAATAACTCACCTCGTGCTCAGAACTCACGCTTTCCAAGCTTCCAGTAATCAAAGTAGAAATAGTATTCCTCGAATTGACAACATTGTAAAGCCTGAGAACAACTTCCAAGGGTTGCCGCATGCCATCATCAGTTTCTGTTCCAACCATACAAAGCTTCCCTGAATATTCTGACCAGAACCCTTCAAGCAAAAACGTTATAAAAGTTGGAAACTGATCGTAGTTCCACATGTTGGTATCTGAGAAGTTTCCATCATGGACACGGTAATACCAAGTGGCACTTCGCATTTCTAACCTTGCTCCTACGTTGAGGATGCCAGCAACATCAGTTTCGAACACATTCTTGATTTGAAGGGTAACATCTTTCTGACCCCCTCCCCGGGGGTAGACAGTGCCACCACCAAGATAGTAACCATGTTGGCGTTGACCGTGTGGGAAGACTTTGAACTTTGAGTCGTTGAGGATTGAGTTTGGAATTGGAACCATAGAACCACAATGATCCATGTAAGAGACAGGAGAAGCAAAGGATGAGAAGGTGTTTGGGGACACAATAGTGAAGAGAAACAATGGCATGAGTAAAAATGACAGTGCCATGATTTCAGGGGTAACCAAATTTCTTTGTAGAAGAAAGATGAAGTGCAAGTATAGATTAGATTCTTGAAAGTCTTTTATACAAAAGATAAGTGGGTAATTATATATAATATTGCATAAACTCCCCTAATATCAATTAATATTGCCCAGCAGAGGACAAAAGGCATGTTGGCTTTAGATTTTTCAATCATTTATATGATTAATTATTTGAAAATATTGAGCTTTGATAAGTAAACTAAAACATCTACATAACTACCGTTTATTGTATAGATATGGCAATCGAAAAAAAATAACAGTGTCATACCAGCAGCTTGCTATGATAAAATTAAATTCAAGGAAACCGTTGACTCTGGATAGTTGACATTATTTATAAGCCAACTAAGGATTTTATAAGCTATTCCCATTTATTAATAATAACAAAATGAAAAATTATATTTTATAAAACTTCTAATTTAAAAATTAATTATAATCCAAAAATATAAAGAAAAAAGAAAGAAAAATGTGTAATCAAATAGTTAATGTGAGTGCGATGAAAATTGAAAAATGATAAATAAAACAAAGAATTAAATAATGGTGTAAAAAGAACATGTTATAGCAATTATAGTATGAATACTATATTTCTTAAAAAATAATTATGTTGCCAACTAAGCCAGAGAGGACTCCGGTAGATTCTCCACTATGTATATTATTCTTTTAAAACATTGAGGTTTAATATGCAGTAAAAAAAATGCAAATTAAATATATAAATAATCATTTTGTTGTATATTTATAAGTTGAAAAATTAGTATCATCTAATATCTTAAATTTTAAATCAGTTTTATTATTTAAGCATTTAAAAATTGACAATACATCTTGATGGAAATCTTCTAGAGAATCTAAATAGTCATGACTTATCTTTCAAGTTCCTCCCTAGACCTTTGGCTTGACACTTCTTAAGCTTCTTAGAGGCCTCTAATGGAGGCACTAGTACAAAAATGACTTTTAAAATCGGAGTTTTAAAATCGATCATCAAGTAGCCGATTTTAAAAGTGACGCAGTGGAAATTTTGTAAATAATGACATTACTTTTAAAATCGGCTACGTTATGACCGATTTTAAAAGTCTCTGACGCTACTTTTAAAATCGGCTCTTGACCAGCCGATTTTAAAAGTGAGACTTTTAAAATCGGCTCTTGAATAGCCGATTTTAAAAGTGGGACTTTTAAAATCGGCTAATGAGTAGCCGATTTTAAAAGTATCACTTTTAAAATCGGTTATTGAACAACCGATTTTAAATGTAGCATCAGAGAGTTAATTATACTATCTGTGCTCCCATTGCTCCATTCTCTACTATCTTCAATATCATATATTCTTCTCTTTATTCTCTCGGACTCTCATCTGAAGTGTGCAGTTTCTCATTTTTTGGGACGAATACAACATCAAGGTAACATTCTCGTCTCATGCATCTTATTTCGTTGTTGCTGGGCGAACTTTGAGTCTGGAACGGCCCTAGAACGGGCCATTCTGCTTACAGTGCAGGCCGTTCTGCTTGCAGAACAGCCCATTCTAAGGCCGTTCCAGACTCAAAGTTCGTCCAGCAATAACGAAATTAGACACCTGAGACGAGAATATTACCTCGATGTTGTATTTTTCCAAGAAAATGAGAAGCTGCACACTTCAGATGAGAGTCCGAGAGAGAGTAAAGAGAAGAATATATGATATTGAAGCCAAAGAGTAGAGAATGGAGCAATGGCAGCGAAGATAGTATAATTAACTCTCTGATGCTACTTTTAAAATCGGTTGTTCAATATCCGATTTTAAAAGTAGACTTTTAAAATCGGCTGTTAAGAGCCGATTTTAAAAGTAGACTTTTAAAATCGGCTACCTGATGACCGATTTTAAAACTCCGATTTTAAAAGTCATTTTTGTACTAGTATTTATCGAATTTTTATTCATCCAAGTTTATCAATGCATGAATTTGTATCGGATTTTCAAATGTAATATCATGTTAATGTGTTGGATTTTCTGTTGAATGATTCCAGGTTGGTCGAGAAAAGAAATGGGGGCAAGTAGTCTTTGCCCTGAAATTGGAAGGGAATAGTGTAAAGTTATGTGCTCAAGTTGAAAAGCTTTACGAACATATTCTCTACCAATATGAGCTATTGTACTTCTACAGGTGTCCTACAAATCAAGCTGGATCTAGCAACAACAAAGGTTAGCCTTACATGCAACTAAAGAGAAGAGGCTAAAAAAATATATTTGAGTACTTGATCACCCCATAACACAATTTGTACTAAGGTGGTGATTGTTTGTTGATGAAAAGTCAGAAGGTGAAAGAGGAAGCAGCAACACAAAAAAGACTCAACTTTCCTTACATGCAACTAAAGAGAAGAGGCTAAAAAATATATTTGAGTACTTGACCACCCCATGTTTTAACATCGGTCATGGTATGATCGATTTTAAAAGTCTCACTTTTAACATCGGTCAATTTTTACTGATTTTAAATGTGGGTGTAACACCCCAAATTTTTTAAAACGGTACTTTTGTAATTAATGACATTTTGTAATTTTAATAAAGGAATAAGGGTATTTTTGTAATTTTATTATTAATGGCATTTTTGCAATTTTATTAAAGTTTGAGGGGTAAAAGGGTAACTTGGAACGGGCTGTTCCAAAATTGGAACGGGCCGTTCCAAGCAATAAAAATATACTGAAATTTCAAGTTGAGAACGGGCCCAGAACGGGCCTTTCCAACAAGGAGAACGGGCCGTTCCGGAGGGAGAACAGGCCGTTCTGCTGAGATTGAGAACGGGCCGTTCTGGTTTCAGAACGGGCCGTTCTGCTTTTTGAAAACGGGCCGTTCCGATATTAGAACGGGCCGTTCCAGTTGAGAATTTTACGCATATTTGAACGTTCCGGAACGGGCCGTTCCGAAATCAGTACGGGCCGTTCCGGGTGCGTCAGATTGCCTATAAATAGGAGGCAGGGGGCTGTGAAAAAAATCATACAGCCAGAAGTGGAAATTTAGAGAGAGAAAGAGAAAGAGAGAGAGAGAGAGAGAGAGAGAGAGAGAGAGAGAGAGAGAGAGAGAGAGAGAGAGAGAGAGAGAGAGAGAGAGAG